TGTCTTTGTGTGACTCACCAAGCAGAGAATACGGTAAGTGGGATGGAACCAGGAAAATGTGAAATCTAAAAAAAAAAATCCCTAGCAGTGGAATACTTATCAACCAGATCAACCATCTCACTATTGCACTGCTTAGATTTCTGAATACCTTCTTTGATATGAAATAAATGACCCTGGATTTTGGGTTGTCTGGTTCAGCTGTTAAATACTGGCACAAGAGAAGGAGGAATCAGACCTTCTGAAATCAAAGATCATGCTTTGTTCCAGCCACTGTTGAATTGAGAATGGCAGTTCAAATAAGGGCTGAAAAATGAATCCCTTGGGGAAATTAAGGTTAATTATACAAACATGTTGGTTTCAGATAGATTACGCAATCAGTCTTTTTCTCTCTGGGTAACCTGTGGGAAGTCTGGTGGAGCACCTGCCACCACTACCATGTCATTCGTCTTCCTTCTTCCCCCTGATTTCTCAGTCGTATCATGACAACTTTGTACTTCAGACTTATTTTAGTCTGGCCTCCTTGCTGTTTCTGTTACTACACTGAGATGCACCAAGGCTGTTCCTGTTCACAGGCTCCCCAGCCTAGTTAATCCAAGATGTCCCTGTTTGACATTTGGGAGTTCTCCTTTTCTTCTCTCTCTTTGATAAACCTCATCCCCATTTCCCTTCATATTCTTTGCTAGTTACTGATGGGCTCTGCTTTTCAGCTGAATGAGGATTTTTCTCAAAAAGGAGGAGGGAAGGACATTGTGAAACCACATCAACAGTGGTTTGTTTTGTCAGTTCATAATAGGATAAAGTCGTACAAAGTGTAGACAACACTTTGAAACATGTTTTAGTAAATATGGTCAACCATGGTGCAGATTGCTTGGGCCGTTGTTGGATCTCTGAGAATACAATACATGAAAAATTGTCAAGAATTACCTACATTTCACTGGCCCTGTGGTGGAACAAGTGATGCAATAGCCAATACCAGTTGAAACAGTAACTGAGATCCTAAGTGGTGTCTTTTGAAAAAAGTACTGTGTGGTTTCTCATAGTAAATATAGAAGAAGCCAAAGAAAACCTGCCTTTTCCCAGCTGTAATAAAGTCTTTTTCCTGCTATAGAGAAGCCTTCTCAGGGAATTGTGGCGTTCAGATCCAAACTCATGAAATTGATGACTTGCCAGAGAAGAAACCAGATTGTTCAGCGACTCCAAGACCAGCAGTGGTAAACAAGGAGGAAGCCCGGACACTCAAATCCAACGTGTGAAGGAGCTTAATTCTTATCGGGCCAGAGTGACTTTCTACCTATAGAGTATGGGTGGAGCGAGTGCAACGCAACATTGACAGACGGGGAAAGAACCCTGCCTGAAACTGCTTCCCAAAACCACTTCTCCTCTTCCTACCATATAGCAGATGTACTGCTAATATAACTGCAGCCTCTCCCAAGTGACCAGGCGTACATATGGACCACTTGCCCAAGCACGTTAGATGATGGCATGGTCATTACAGCCCACACAGCATCTTCTCCACCAAGAGAGATGCTGGACACCTGATGTGCCCCCATCCTTTCCCTCCCCAGACAGGTCAAATGCAGTCACACTTTGATCTTCCTCGCACTGCTCCTCTTGGAAAAGGAAATTAAATCCACTTACCATCTGCATATAAACTGAAAATCTTAGTGGAGTCCCTCATGGTTCTGTATACACATGCATTCAACATCACCCTCCTCTTCCCAATTATTTTGGACTAGTCCCTTCCACAACATTTGCTACATTATTCCTCCAGTTCAGAAAACGACGTTGCAGATTGTGGCAGTTGATTAATCTGATAGCTCCTTTCGTAGCTGCAAAGAATCTAGAGCAAAGGCATTTGAAGACAGACTCAAGTATACACCATACTTGACATGTACTTATATTATTGGGAATTTGTGAAGTTTGAATAGTCTTCTGCCTCTTTTTAGCCACGTTCAGCCTGGTAGGATGGGGTTCATCTGATCAAATGCAAGCATCTATGTCTGAGACAGACAATGAGAAGGAACGAGTCCCTTTAGAGAGCAGTTCATCTCACCCTATTGCCTATATATGTGTGTCTCTGTGCATATTTATTTATTTATGCCACAGATAGATAGATATATATATGTAGGCCAAATGGCTCATGGTCTAAAGGCACCTCTTTCTCTGCAGCAACTCTAAAGGAGGCCTCGATTAGCTAGCTATACATGCTTACATGGCATATGTCAAAAGCAAAATGGGATGAATGTCTTCCTTATAATTCAGGAGGCATGAGATCTTAGTGTAGTTTTCTATTTTGTGATAGAGTGTACGTGTCATTGATTTACTGGTTTGTATTTCTGTTGAGTTATTCTCACTCTATAGCCTTGATATTTATACTTCCCATGGCTTTTTTTATTCCTGTTGGAATAGGACTTACATGTACTACATATCTTTATAAAGATGGATATGTAATGGGCTATTACATGCTGTTATTTTGTATGGGAGCAAACAATCTGTATTTACGCAATAGATGGTAGGTTTTCACACCTGTCAGCTGCTCTGAAGGCTGCAAGCTGTGGTACTAAGCTCTTCTGCTTCATTTGGTCGACGCACATTACTTATTGCTAACATACCTCCGTTAAGCACTGCAGTTAGGCTGGCATGGCTTGTCCTACTCAGGGCATTTCACTGGAGAAGGCTAATGTTTAATCTAGTCCTAACATGCACATTTTTATGCAGATAACAAGAGCAGAGTCATATGTCTCATACTGCTCTGGTGGTTTTTCCTCCTTTTCTTAGCCAGCTTGGCTCAGGGTCTCTCTCTCCACATTTTTGCCTATGTTTCTTGGAAATTAAGGAAGACACACTGCTGGTAAGGGACCTGCAAGCAATACACTGGACGACTATTATGGGGTTTAATTTTCCTAGTTATTAATGTCTACATAGAGAGTCTGACCTCAGGTCACCTCCAGCGTGGGAGCCATAGACGTAGTTTATCAGGAAGTAATAACTCTTGGTTGAGCTGTACTTTACATCTCGGAGGGGTTTGTTGGCCCTCAGGGGAAATGTTCGTGTCTGAGACTTGAGCCTTCAGTACAACAAGCAGAGAGAAAGTAGAAATCAGTAGGACCCAGCCTGGGAGCAAAGTGCCACCACTGGAAGAGGCTGTGGCCAAGGGGGCATCGTTGCTCTTGTGCTTTCTCCATGGCCACTCTCACTTGTTTTACTTTGTGGTTGATATTTTTATTTTGTAGACTTTGATTTTCTCAGAATGGAACAACTAATAAACTATAATAATAAATTGTTCTGGATATTTGAAATGCAGTTTTTCTTCTTGCTATTGATCTAAACTTTGAAAAAGATATCATTTATTTTCCATTATCCTCTCATTTTAACAAAAGGTATGACAAATTCAGGAATGTGTCATAGGAAGGTTTATTCTAAAGACCTGTGCTAAAGCTCACATCGCATGTGTACTATCACAGCTAACCTTTAAAATGCAGGAGGAGACTAAAGATAATTGGGCAACGATGTCTCCAAAATAGATAATGGAAGCAATTAATAGATTTTTTTTAATCTAAGGGCAGTGGAGCTCCCTTAACCCTTACCATCCCCAAGGGGTGGAAATGCACATACTCCTATACCATGGCCAGGAACCCAAGTGTGAGAAAATGTTTTTTTTTCCAGAAATCTGTAGTGTAGGAATCAGCCTGCTTATTGCAATGCATCATCATATGTGCCTTCATATAGGTGACTCCATGTGAGCTGGTCCCATCACAGTGGAGATAGGAAGAGCCTAGAGACACTCAAATATCAAATGCAGTTGTCCACCCAGGCTGAATAGTTTTCCAGACCCCGTGGACCACTTCAGCCATTGACTCCATTGACTCTACTGGGAGCTCAGACCGCAGCTCACATGGAAACACCTACAAATTGATCTGGTTGCCTGAAGATAGATATCTGCCATGATCTGAGACACCCAAGGGTGTTGGAGACATCTACATAGGGCTGGAAGCTACAACGCAGGAGCTATGGGAGGCCTCTCCTCCTCTGCACTGATAGCTGGAAGCCAAGCAGCACAATTTGTTTGTGCCCAGCCTGCAGAATTACCCCCACATGTAAACGCCTACTATAAGACATCCCAGTAAGTGAGCCGGATCCCAGCCCTAGAAATCATGAAGACTTGCAGAATCTGTCACCTCTCTCAATACGTTGCTGAAGAAACCTGATAAAAACATTTCCTGGCACTCTAAGAAAAAAATAAGTTCTTAAGTTTAAATTTAAGCATATTTTTTGGTTGCAATGACAAATAAGAGGTGGGGATCTTATACACAAATACTCTTCGGTGGCCAAAAGTGGCCCGTGTCTTAGGCAAGTTAAACAGTAGATATAAGGCAAGGTTGAGAAGGAGTGCAAGGAGGCAATGAAAGAGCACAGATCTGCCTCTCAGTCACAGCCTTAACACAGCAGCTACCTACAAGTTTTCTAGATTTGTTTTTACTTTTCTATAGGAATAAAACAGCATGGCAGGGCAAATACGTGCTCAGCTGGGGAGCATAAAGGCTTGTGAGCAAAGACTTCAGGACTCCAGCAAGCACCAGCTCCACCAGTCATTTCCAGGTGTCTGATTCTCTGATTATTTTCTCCTCCAGTCTTTCTGCAGAAGAAAGTC